AATTGGCGAAAATTTTATTTTTCCAAAATCATACGGAAAGTTATATGGATTTATAGCAAATTTTGTTATCTGTTCAAAACAGTATGTATTTTTGATGTAGGACGATTTTTGGCCAAGTTACAGCAAAAAAACCGAAAGAAAAAATTCCATTTTTGTCAAAAAGTGAAATCACGAATTTCCAAAAAAAAACCAAAACCCGTTTTTTCGCTATAACAAAGTAAATACTGATTCAAAGTATGGATTGTCATACCTTTCTGAACTCGTTATTAAATTTCCTAACGATTGGCATTTAAACCTTGACAATTTATTCATTTTTAATTTTTCGCAAAAAATCATGGGGTACCCCCTTATAAAAAAATTAAAAATTCGCGAAAATTTTATTTTTCCAAAATCACACGGAAAGTTATATGGATTTATAGCAAATTTTGTTATCTGTTCAAAACAGTATGAATTTTTGGTGTAGGACCATTTTTGCATAAGTTACAGCAAAAAAACCAAAAGAAAAAATTCCATTTTTGTCAAAAACTGAAATCCTAAATTTTCAAAAAAAAACCAAAACCCGTTTTTTCGCTATAACAAAGTAAATACTGATTCAAAGTATGGATTGTCATACCTTTCTGAACTCGTTATTAAATTTCCTAACGATTGGCATTTAAACCTTGACAATTTATTCATTTTTAATTTTTCGCAAAAAATCATGGGGTACCCCCTTATAAAAAAATTAAAAATTGGCGAAAATTTTATTTTTCCAAAATCATACGGAAAGTTATATGGATTTATAGCAAATTTTGTTATCTGTTCAAAACAGTATGAATTTTTGGTGTAGGACGATTTTTGGCCAAGTTACAGCAAAAAAACCGAAAGAAAAAATTCCATTTTTGTCAAAAAGTGAAATCACGAATTTCCAAAAAAAAACCAAAACCCGTTTTTTCGCTATAACAAAGTAAATACTGATTCAAAGTATGGATTGTCATACCTTTCTGAACTCGTTATTAAATTTCCTAACGATTGGCATTTAAACCTTGACAATTTATTCATTTTTAATTTTTCGCAAAAAATCATGGGGTACCCCCTTATAAAAAAATTAAAAATTGGCGAACATTTTATTTTTCCAAAATCACACGGAAAGTTATATGGATTTATAGCAAATTTTGTTATCTGTTCAAAACAGTATGTATTTTTGGTGTAGGACCATTTTTGTCCAAGTTACAGCAAAAAAACCAAAAGAAAAAATTCCATTTTTGTCAAAAACTGAAATCACGAATTTCCAAAAAAAAACCAAAACCCGTTTTTTCGCTATAACAAAGTAAATACTGATTCAAAGTATGGATTGTCATACCTTTCTGAACTCGTTATTAAATTTCCTAACGATTGGCATTTAAACCTTGACAATTTATTCATTTTTAATTTTTCGCAAAAGATCATGGGGTACCCCCTTATAAAAAAATTAAAAATTGGCGAAAATTTTATTTTTCCAAAATCACACGGAAAGTTATATGGATTTATAGCAAATTTTGTTATCTGTTCAAAACAGTATGTATTTTTGGTGTAGGACCATTTTTGTCCAAGTTACAGCAAAAAAACCAAAAGAAAAAATTCCATTTTTGTCAAAAACTGAAATCCTAAATTTTCAAAAAAAAACCAAAACCCGTTTTTTCGCTATAACAAAGTAAATACTGATTCAAAGTATGGATTGTCATACCTTTCGGAACTCGTTATTAAATTTCCTAACGATTGGCATTTAAACCTTGACAATTTATTCATTTTTAATTTTTCGCAAAAAATCATGGGGTACCCCCTTATAAAAAAATTAAAAATTCGCGAAAATTTTATTTTTCCAAAATCACACGGAAAGTTATATGGATTTATAGCAAATTTTGTTATCTGTTCAAAACAGTATGAATTTTTGGTGTAGGACGATTTTTGGCCAAGTTACAGCAAAAAAACCGAAAGAAAAAATTCCATTTTTGTCAAAAAGTGAAATCACGAATTTCCAAAAAAAAACCAAAACCCGTTTTTTCGCTATAACAAAGTAAATACTGATTCAAAGTATGGATTGTCATACCTTTCTGAACTCGTTATTAAATTTCCTAACGATTGGCATTTAAACCTTGACAATTTATTCATTTTTAATTTTTCGCAAAAAATCATGGGGTACCCCCTTATAAAAAAATTAAAAATTGGCGAAAATTTTATTTTTCCAAAATCACACGGAAAGTTATATGGATTTATAGCAAATTTTGTTATCTGTTCAAAACAGTATGTATTTTTGGTGTAGGACCATTTTTGTCCAAGTTACAGCAAAAAAACCAAAAGAAAAAATTCCATTTTTGTCAAAAACTGAAATCTCGAATTTCCAAAAAAAAAAACCAAAACCCGTTTTTTTGCTATAACAAAGTAAATACTGATTCAAAGTATGGATTCCTAACGATTGGCATTTAAACCTTGACAATTTATTCATTTTTAATTTTTCGCAAAAAATCATGGGGTACCCCCTTATAAAAAAATTAAAAATTGGCGAACATTTTATTTTTCCAAAATCACACGGAAAGTTATATGGATTTATAGCAAATTTTGTTATCTGTTCAAAACAGTATGTATTTTTGATGTAGGACGATTTTTGGCCAAGTTACAGCAAAAAAACCGAAAGAAAAAATTCCATTTTTGTCAAAAAGTGAAATAACGAATTTCCAAAAAAAAACCAAAACCCGTTTTTTCGCTATAACAAAGTAAATACTGATTCAAAGTATGGATTGTCATACCTTTCTGAACTCGTTATTAAATTTCCTAACGATTGGCATTTAAACCTTGACAATTTATTCATTTTTAATTTTTCGCAAAAAATCATGGGGTACCCCCTTATAAAAAAATTAAAAATTGGCGAAAATTTTATTTTTCCAAAATCACACGGAAAGTTTTATGGATTTATTGCACATTTTGTTATCTGTTCAAAACAGTATGTATTTTTGATGTAGGACGATTTTTGGCCAAGTTACTGCAAAAAAACCGAAAGAAAAAATTCCATTTTTGTCAAAAAGTGAAATCACGAATTTCCAAAAAAAACCAAAACCCGTTTTTTCGCTATAAAAAAGTAAATACTGATTCAAAGTATGGATTGTCATACCTTTCTGAACTCGTTATTAAATTTCCTAACGATTGGCATTTAAACCTTGACAATTTATTCATTTTTAATTTTTCGCAAAAAATCATGGGGTACCCCCTTATAAAAAAATTAAAAATTGGCGAAAATTTTATTTTTCCAAAATCACACGGAAAGTTTTATGGATTTATTGCACATTTTGTTATCTGTTCAAAACAGTATGTATTTTTGATGTAGGACGATTTTTGGCCAAGTTACAGCAAAAAAACCGAAAGAAAAAATTCCATTTTTGTCAAAAAGTGAAATCACGAATTTCCAAAAAAAACCAAAACCCGTTTTTCGCTATAAAAAAGTAAATACTGATTCAAAGTATGGATTGTCATACCTTTCTGAACTCGTTATTAAATTTCCTAACGATTGGCATTTAAACCTTGACAATTTATTCATTTTTAATTTTTCGCAAAAAATCATGGGGTACCCCCTTATAAAAAAATTAAAAATTGGCGAAAATTTTATTTTTCCAAAATCACACGGAAAGTTTTATGGATTTATTGCACATTTTGTTATCTGTTCAAAACAGTATGTATTTTTGATGTAGGACGATTTTTGGCCAAGTTACAGCAAAAAAACCGAAAGAAAAAATTCCATTTTTGTCAAAAAGTGAAATCACGAATTTCCAAAAAAAAACCAAAACCCGTTTTTTCGCTATAAAAAAGTAAATACTGATTCAAAGTATGGATTGTCATACCTTTCTGAACTCGTTATTAAATTTCCTAACGATTGGCATTTAAACCTTGACAATTTATTCATTTTTAATTTTTCGCAAAAAATCATGGGGTACCCCCTTATAAAAAAATTAAAAATTGGCGAAAATTTTATTTTTCCAAAATCACACGGAAAGTTTTATGGATTTATTGCACATTTTGTTATCTGTTCAAAACAGTATGTATTTTTGATGTAGGACGATTTTTGGCCAAGTTACAGCAAAAAAACCTAAAAAAAAATTCCATTTTTGTCAAAAAGTGAAATCACGAATTTCCAAAAAAAAAACCAAAACCCGTTTTTTCGCTATAAAAAAGTAAATACTGATTCAAAGTATGGATTGTCATACCTTTCTGAACTCGTTATTAAATTTCCTAACGATTGGCATTTAAACCTTGACAATTTATTCATTTTTAATTTTTCGCAAAAAATCATGGGGTACCCCCTTATAAAAAAATTAAAAATTCGCGAAAATTTTATTTTTCCAAAATCACACGGAAAGTTTTATGGATTTATTGCACATTTTGTTATCTGTTCAAAACAGTATGTATTTTTGATGTAGGACGATTTTTGGCCAAGTTACAGCAAAAAAACCGAAAGAAAAAATTCCATTTTTGTCAAAAAGTGAAATCACGAATTTCCAAAAAAAAACCAAAACCCGTTTTTTCGCTATAAAAAAGTAAATACTGATTCAAAGTATGGATTGTCATACCTTTCTGAACTCGTTATTAAATTTCCTAACGATTGGCATTTAAACCTTGACAATTTATTCATTTTTAATTTTTCGCAAAAAATCATGGGGTACCCCCTTATAAAAAAATTAAAAATTGGCGAAAATTTTATTTTTCCAAAATCACACGGAAAGTTTTATGGATTTATTGCACATTTTGTTATCTGTTCAAAACAGTATGTATTTTTGATGTAGGACGATTTTTGGCCAAGTTACAGCAAAAAAACCAAAAGAAAAATTCCAATTTTTGTCAAAAACTGAAATCCCGAATTTCCACAAAAAAAAAAAAAAAAAAAACGGGTTTTTTCGCTAAAACAAAGCAAGTACTGATTCAATGTATGGATTGTCATACCTTTCTGAACTCGTCATTAAATTTCCTACTTGTTAAATAAACCGATAGCAACTCACCAAAAAAGAGGCAACGAACAGCATCAGACAGCCCACAAAGTGCACTATTTCCAGAACCCTATAGACCACCACGAGGACGCCTTCGAAGGAATCGCAGCAGGGCTCTGCACTTCTCAGCGGAACTGCGAGGAGTTCAAAAAATACCAAAATCAGGGAACTGATTATACAACCCACTCGTAGGGTAATCATGAAGCAGCACTTTTTCAGGCGGCACCTCATGACTGATTTGGTTCTTTGGTTGATTCGATTTGATTTTCTTTTCCTTTGACTGTTAAATCTACGTAGTCTGTTTTAAAAGGCTATAGACGTTTATAATATGGCTTGAAATATTTATTATAAATATAGATGATGCAGAAGTCGATCAATTTTTCTTCACTCCCTACGTTTTCAGCCATCTGAAATATGTTACCATTTTTCGTCTGCATCAATTTTTCTCCGCTGGAACTTTGGTATTCCCCAGTCAATATGCAACTGGCTGATGAGGAATTCGCCTGGCTTTGGCCTTCCCCTCTACAATTTTCCCATTTCAACGACCCAGCCCGCTCATCTATTTTGCATATTTTCCGAACTTTAGCTAGTTGCTTGTACAACGAGTAAAAGTAAAATTTCGCAGACTTTTCGAGACTGTAAAATATTACATCACCCTCCTCGCCGAAGCAGCCGCCAGTCGATATTAAAAAAGATAAAGTTTTATTAGTTGTGCGGTGAGAATGGTGAGAATGGGCGGCGAGATATAATAAAAGTAATAAAAGAAAATATGCAACACACACAAAAACACAAATACAAATGAAGATGCAGATGAAGTTGAAATGTAAATTTCGTCCGAATGGAAAGTTCCGTTTCAATGATTGCAAACGGAAGCGGAAAATGCCACCCACCCACAGAATCCGAATCCCGAACCCAATCCCCTCTGGGGAATGAATGGCAAATGAAACGCAAGTAAATACGATAAATAAATGTTTAAATAAATAAGTAAATAAATATGTGGACAGTCGGCTACAGGAGTTGTGGGCAAAAACGGGGGCCAAAAAGTCCAAATGTAATAATTAAATTGCATTTTGCGTCTGCGGCCAAACAAAATGGCGGCCAACGTACGAATAAGTGAGTGTGTGTGCGGTCGGAAGAGTGTGGAAAGTGGCTACGACTATTCGCTACCCTGTAAAAATATATAAAAATGTATCAGCTTGCAAAATATATATAAAATTAAAAAAATCAGAAAATATTAATATTTAAATAGCAAAATAATTTGAAAATAAAATTTTTTTTGCGGTCACAAGATGGCGAAAGTGGTTACAATTATTTATATACCAATTTCTAGATTTGTAAAATAAATATAAAATTCAGAAAATATTATTTTTTATACCAAAATAATTTTAAAAAAGTGTTTTTATGGCCTGAAACTCCTTGATAAATCCCGCCCACAGTTCCCCGATTCCCAGCATAAATATTTATATGCCTTGGCCGCAATCATTGGTTCATATTAAAACACACAAGCACATACATGAGTGTGCTGCTATTTTATTTTATTTTATTTCTCTCTTTCTGATTTTCATGCTGTCCTTATTTCTTTCTCCAGATTCCATTCCTCGTAATTTACAATATTATAGCCCTCAATTGCTGGCCTTCGCGGATGGGAAAAGGCTTAAATTTATTTATCATTCAATTAAATATTTAAAATACCAAAAAATGCTTTCACCGCCGGCCAACTTATTTAAATTTCGACGCCCACACACATGCCGCACACACACACACCTTTAATATTGAAATTGAAATCATAAATAAATGAGAAAATTTGCGTCGGCTGGTGAATGCCGAGTTTTCCAAGGGAAAACGGGTGGGGAAAATTGTGGGCGGTTTGTTGATTTTCCCTGCGTATGCGTAATGTGTGTGCCAGTGTAAATTTTATTGTTATATGTATATATTTATGCCCGCATATGTGTGTGCACTAGGGTGGACTTATTTTGTATGAAATTTCTAAGGCCATGCTCTCACCCCTTCATATATAGCCTTTTTGTATCCTTAATCCATTAAAGAAAGAACAAGTAAAAAATAATTAGTTTTAGGCGGTGCGCAACGGCTTTAAAGTTTATTACGCTAATTTCAGATTCATCTAGATGCCGTAGACTTAATTTTATACTTTGACAGTATTTTAAAAAGTATCTTAATCACTTTCCTGAGCTTTTTAACAAGGGATGAAGTCGTTGATAAAATTCGAGTCCCTGGGAGACAATTACAACTTAAAAATAACAATAATAACGAATAATCAAGGACTTTTAGAGTACAACTTATAAATATTACGGTCTCTGAAAAATAAGAGTCAATATCGTTGTATCCTAAGCCAGCATTTCTTTGAGGAAAATTTTTATTGGCGAACGCAAAAGTGATAGTTAATCTTTAAAATTGTAAAAAATAGAATCTCTATTTCATTGTGAGTCACAAAAAAAAAATGGTAAGTCGGGAATCGAACTCGATCCTTTTTGTTCGGAGACAGAAGCTCTACTGGCTAGGCTACGTCCAACTGTTAATATTCATGAAATACATTTCTACTTGACTCTTTTATTCGAGCGAAACCAAAAAGTTGACATGTTAAAATCTGACAAGAAATGGAATGGGGTAAATTCCTAGTTTTACACTTAATTTTTAGCGAAACTTTAGGGCCATTGCGCACCGCCTAAACGATGAAATAAAATTTTTCTGTTTTTGCATAAATTTATTGGACACAGAAACCTACCATTTAAGATGCTGAGCTCAGTTGACCTTAAAGAAGTCCACCCTAGTGTGCACGTTTTTTTTTCGCCGTGTATTTTTGCTGCATCGCTGCAATGTTTGTAAAATTAATTGACATTTTATTTGTTAATTAATTGTTATGGCCGGGTGTTGTTGTTGTTTTTCGTTTGGTTCACAGCCGAGAGTTCACAGCTTTTGGGCCAAATGACCAAATGGCCAAATGGCTTTTCATTATTGTTATTACAAATGCCGCGGTCATTATTATTTGCTCGTTAAGCGAACCCCTGCACTTGTCCCCTTTGAACTTTTGTTCAAATGCAATGCATTTGTAATTTAGTTTTGTAGTTTTAATTGCAAAAATTGTTAATTTTCTGATAATTTATTTATGCTTTTATTTATGTTTAGCACAGTACTAAATTGAAAGCAGAGTTTTAGGTGTTCTTATAATATTAAATTCCTATAAAGATGGCTTATATTTAAGAACTTGGTCAGGAAAAAATACATTTTCTGTGAAATATCCTAGCCAGCGAGCCATCAATTTTTACAACTTTAAATACCAGCAGGAAGTAACTTGGGCATTCAGGATCAGCTCCCCTAGAGCAACATTTCGAATGGCAATAAGAAAAAAGTCATAACAAAATTTTACGACAACTTTGTTGGCTTTTTTTTTTGGGGATACGAGATTTGGTACTAGGGATTCGGATTCGGATGGACTGAACCGAACTGAACTGGATGCGAAATGCAAAACAAAGGGAAAATTACCGAAACACCAGGAGAAGAAGAAGAGGCGGCGTTTTCTAATGGCTGCCATCCCGCTGGGTTCGTTCTCCTTTTATATTCCTCCTTTAAAGGAGAGATGGGGGCATATAATAATCATCTATATTCATGGATTAGGATTCAATTTTTATATGCCACACGCGAGAAGGTGAAACGGAGAAAGCTGCGAAGGAGAGAGAACAATGAGGGTTAAATTGAAAATAAAGCGTTACCCGAAAGAGGACACAGATACCAAAAAAGCGGGAAAAAGAAAGGAGGAGTGCTGAGAATTATTCAAAAATTTATGCAAGAAAATATTACCAAAGAGCTAATAATTTTCCCCATCCATTCTATTCCCGAAAAGGTGGCAAAAGCGCCGCGTGGGGGCCGCCAGGGGGTGGTGGGTGGTTGGGTGATTCTACCCCGGGTTTTGTATTAATGAATAATATCGCGGCTAAGGCGAAGGCGAAACGCGTTCTTCTTTTTTTTGTATTTTTGTGGCACGCCACAGGGGTTAATAAGTAATCTGCATTTTTTGACATTTATTTATGTCTTCAAATATGTGCGAGGCTACTCCTCGTCGTCGTTTCTCTCTTCTTATTTTTTATTTTTATCGCGGGGCCAAAGAGCAAGGGAAATCTAACAGCTGTTCAAAGTGTCATTAGAGCGAAATATGCCCGCGATGTGAATGAGGCCCCATCTTTAATTTTCATCTCCCTGCTAAATGGGAATTGTATTCGAGGATATGCGTATATTCATCTCCGGCCCACCTCAATCTTTATTCCTTTCATTTGATTAGCAGCGAATCTAAGGCCAAGGAATGGCGGATAAGTTTAAAGATATTCTGAAATTTCATTTGAAAAATAAAGGACTAAATTGAGATTTTTATACTTTTCTAAAGAATGAAAATTCTTTTTCATATTTAATTTTAAGTATATTTCTACTTAAGATTACAAATAGGCTTAAATTTCATATAAAAAATAATAAATGGCTAAAGCAAAATCACTATTTAATTAAACACAAAACAATATTTAATCATCTTTACCATTTAGATTTATTAATAATACTTTATTTTTTTATAATTATCGTTTTCATATGATTAGCTAGTAATCTAAGGAAATGGGATTGCAAGAAAGACTAAAGATATTCTGAAATTGTTTTCATTTTTGTATATTTATAAAAATGGCAAAATTAATATAATGATTTAGAAAACATTTATAAACTATCCTTAATTTTTAGGCATATTTATTTTACCTCATCTAAGTAGTTTTATATATTTATCCAAGTCAAGGTCATAAAAGTGGTAATGGGCGGACATCGGACTTTAGTTACCTACGTGTCGGCACAAATCTATATTTACGATTATGGAAGTTTATGGATGTGGCTTCTTTGACGTTTTAGTGTCATTCAGCGTTGGGCTGTAAAGGGCGTGCAAAAAGGGGATGGAGGGGGATGGTGTTTAGGGGGAGGGGGTCGTAGAGCAGTTCTAATGACAAATGCCCATATGAAATGGTCACACACGCAAGGACCTTCCCCTTCCGCTGCTTTTGCTTTCGCCGGCTTTCTGGTGAAAGTGAAATTGTCATAAAAAGTGAAAGGCAACTGGGGAACCTGAAGGGGGTGGGTAAGGGGTTTTAGGGGGGCAAAGGGGGCGGTTCTCACATGTCAAGGTAATTTGGGCGCACTTTTTGCACTCGCCTCGTTTTATGGGCGAATTCAAATAGTTCTCCGGGCCA